TATGGTTAGACATTTCCCAATTTATTTGTCCTTACTAAACTATGGTGCCCTAAAGTAAATAAAACACTCCAGATGTAGTCTGAAAACATCAGAGTACATTAAGACTATCATCTCCCTATTACTCGAAGCTATGCCTATCTCAATGTAGCCCAAGATCACGTTACCTTTTTTTAAGGAAGGGCATTTTTTTTTTTTTGGTGAGGCAGTCAGGGTTAAGTGACTTTGCCCAGGGTCACACAGCTAGTAAGTGTCATGTGTCTGAGGCCGCATTTGAACTCAGGTCCTCCCAACTCCAAGGCCAGAACTTATCCACTACGCCACACAGCTGCCCCATGTTACCTTTTATTTCAGCTGCTATATCACGTGGTGATCTTTTTCAAAGTGCTATCTCTCTTATCCTGTACTTGTGAAGTTATTTTTGGAGCTCAGAATGTAAAACTTTACATTTATCCCTATTAAGATTTAGCCTGATGTTCTATAGCCAGTCAAGATCTTTTTGGATTCTGGTTCTGTCACACAGTGAGTTAACTATCCCTCCCAGATCTGAAGAGCATGACATCTATTCCTTTCTCCAAGTCACTGAAGTCAATGCTAAATTGTACTAAGCCAAGTACAGATCCCTGGGCTTTCCACTAGAGACCTCCTGCCAGGTAGATATTGAATCATTAATGACTATTTTTTTAGCCCATCCATTCAACCACTTTGGAATGCATCTATTTGTATTATTGTCTAGTTTACATTTCTTCATCTTCTCTTAAGAATAGTATGAGATATTTTATCAAGAGTTATCTAAGCTCTCAGTAAACCATAGAGGGAAGACACTAGAATTGAAGGGTTGGGATAGGCTTCTTGCAGAAGGTGGGATTTTAGCTGGGACTTGAAGCCAAGGAAGCTAGAAGGCAAAGACGAGGAGGGAGAGAAAGGGCATTTAGGCATGGGGGACAACCAGGGAAAATATCCCTTTGTTACTGGATTCCCTAGTTTTGAGATATACTAGAAAAAACTTATAATTTTTGAAAAAGTTGCTATATAATCAGTTTTTCCAGTGTGTTTCCTTTCCTGTTAGACCCACTCCTTTTAAGATGAGTTTTACATAGTTACATATTTAATCCTTCACACATATTGATATTGTAGCTGATGTGAGAAGTACGAATTTTGCATCCTTATAATGCTGGTGCCTCACTAACAAATGTTCATTTGCTTTTAAACAGACCTAGACTGACTGCTTTACTGTGAGGTCCTTACGAACTGCAGATCCCTAAGATAAAGTTTTCCTGGTGTCCTAGAAACTGCAAGTCATCAATTCGAAGTGCTCAGTCCATTTAAAAAAAAATGTTTTGGAACCTCTCTCTTGTTTTGGAGTTTGGATCTTGTCTTCTTACTGAATGAGTTTTGAATTCTGAAGAGACCTGAGGAGGGAGATGTAGCCAGCCATGAGCCCTCCCTGACTCCTCAGTGTGAATGGAAGGACCCCCAGAGGGGGCTACACTTGGAACATACTTCCTCTTCAATTTATCTCTCAATCTTACTTGTTTCAAAGGTCAGTTTCCATCACACCTCTCTCAAGTAGTCTTCCTTGATCTCTCGGGGTGGGGGTGGGGGGTGGGGGGTGTTTCCCTCCATCCTCAAATTATGTTTTAATGTTGTATAGCCCACATTAAAATGTAAACATCTCAGCAGCGGGACTGTTTCATTTTTGTTTGGTGTTTTTTGGTTTGTTGGGTTTTTTATTTGTTTTTTGCAGTCCAGTTCCTCACACCTGCCGTTCACTGAATTAAACTGGCAGAACCTATGAGTTAGCATTTCACTGGAATGACCTTCAAGAACCTTCAGGTACTTCCATTCTGTCAAGTTTAATCAAAGGAGGGCTTTTGTGTCCTATTTGGCATTTTATTTTCCCTACTCCTAGCACAATGCTCTGTTCACAGTAGATGATTAATAATGTATGTTAAGTTGCAATTGGATCTCTTTAATTCAAATTTTAAAGTTAGAAGCCAAAAGTAAATTCCAGATTATATGCTCTACTTTATATTCTCTTTTCATTCTGACCTTTGCAAGAGTTAATATTTTATTTTTTGCCTTTTTCACTTTTATTTAGTATTTTATTTTTCCCAGTTACATGTAAAAACAATTTTTTACATTCATTTTAAAAACTTTGAGTTTCAAATTCTCTCCCTTCTTCTCTCACCAACCCTCCCCCCACTGAGAAAGCGAGCTATTTGATATAGGTTATACACGTGTAGTCATGCAAAACATACCCATAATAGTCATCTTGTGAAGGAAAACATAAAACAAAAAATTCAAGAAAAATAAAGACCAGTTCTTTCTCTGGAGAAGGATAGCATTTTTCATCATAAGTCCTTCAGAGTTGTCTTGGATCACTGTATTGCTGATAATAGCTAAGTCATTCACAGCTGATAATTTTACAATTTTGCTGTTACTTTGTACATAGTACATTTCACTTTGCATAAGCCCATGCAAGTTTCTGAAAGCATCTTGATCATCATTTCTTATAGTACAACAGTATTTCATCATAATCACATACCACAACTTGTTCAGCTGTTCCCCGATTGATGGCATCTCCTCAATTTCTAATTCTTTACCCCCAGAAAAGAGCTACTATAAATATTTTTGTACATATAGGTCAAAAGCTAATATTTCTTTAAAAACATCATAAATTAATAGAAATCATTTTACTTTCAAATCTTAACATTTCAGTTTAATATTTTTACTATAAACTATAAGAAAAAACACTATACAAAATATCACTAACAAGATGTTGCAGATGGAACCATAATGTGTAATAAAATGGATACAAATGAATCATTTTTAGGGATAATGAGGAATTAGACACAACATGGCAGAGTAGAACAAACCTTGCATTTAGAATTAGGAGACCTGAGTTCAAATCCTGTTCCTGATATTAGCTGTATGACTAATGGCAAGTCATTTGGTTTTTAAGAGTTTCACTTTCCTCATTTGTAAAATGGGGATAACAATATTGTATACCAAGTAGTTGTTAGGAAAACATGATGTAAACCCTTAAAGGCTGTAAAAATGTTAACTATTTTCATCCTTACTACATCATACATGGTTTTTTGCAGTAGTCCATCATATCAAAGCCCAAGGTTTGGTATAAGGCAAACAGCTGTTAAAAAAAAGCTGAGTTTGGGCAGCTAGGTGGTGCAGTGGGTAGAGCTCTGGCCTTGGAGTCAGAGTCCTTGTATATCAGATACTCAGAACTTATATAGCTCTCCATCTGACAGACCAATCTCCTACTTTATCCTGAACTTTATTCTTGGCACTATGATTAAGTTTGGCGTTCCCCCTCAAGCCCTCATTTCACTATTTCTTTTTTTTTAATTTATTTTGATTTATCAACAATCACTCCCATAAGCTTTTGAGTTTCAAATTTTTCTCCCTCTCCCTCCCCACCTTCCTCCCCAAGGTGGCATGCAATCTGATACAGGCTATACATATACATTCCTATTAAACATATTTTCACATTAGTCATGTTGTAAGGAAGAATTAGAACTAATAGAGGAACCACAAGGAGGAGGAAACAAAACAAAACAGAAGGGAAAAAAAAGCAAATAGTATGCTTCGATCTGCATTCAAACTCCATAGTTCTTTCTTTGGATGAGGACGGCATTTTTCATCATGAGATCTTTGGAGATGTCTTAGATTCTTGCACTGCTGAGAAGGGCTAAAACTATCAAAGTTAGTTATTGCACAAAGCATTTCACTCAGAACACTTAGGACTCTTATTCAATTTACTGGACTACATCTCCCAGATGCCTCCTTGGAGTGAACTGCTATCATTTTGTCTACCCCTTCCCCAGTACTTCCTTGAAAGTAACTTCAGTTAGGCCTCATCAACTGAGAGAGGATAGAGAGAAGAGGACCGAGGACAAAACCTCACACTTGTAAGGTGTATACCACACAACTGATGAGAGAGAAGGAGAAAAGGAAAAAGGAGAACATTTAGTTATTATCACTTTAGGACACACCATGCATTGCAGGAGGAAATCCCCTGCCCTCCTGATTGGTGAGGGCTTCACTTAGCTCTCTACGTCTAAGAGGAGTTACTCACCTTGACACTTGGAGCAGAGACCCTGGCCTGAAGGACTTAATCCTTTCACTCACAGAACCCTCACCTGGGGTCTTGCACTCAGAGATCCTTGAAAGCCAGAATTATTTCATTCTTTGTATTTGTATCCTGAGCATCTAGAATACTTCTAGCACACAGAAGGAACTTAATAAATGCTTCTTAATTTAATGATACATAAGAGGGCTCTAGCCATGCTTCACTATACTCCTTGACTATCTTCCCCTCAGCCACTTTGCTATATGTACTGTCTGGTACCACACCACCCATCCTCCTTCTTCTTCTAAAATTCTAGAACTATAATCAAATCAGTACTGCCGTTGCTACTGTCAAAGATGTGTCAATCCACTCCCCAATGGTTTTACTCATGATCCCAGTAACTTTAAAGTCAAATCACCCTTCCCTGGCCATTACTTCCCCTTATGTGTTCTCTTAACTGGAAATAAAAGCTCCCCAAGTGCAGACTTCACTTTTGTACTGTAAGCTCAGTGCTTAGCATATACTAAATGTTTAATAAATGGTTTTTCATTCATACATTAAAAATATGTTGAGTATAATATTAACCAATTTTAAATGCTTTGGAAATTAAATGCAACAAAGAAATAATTTTTCATATTTACATTTCATTTTTTACTGTACAAGGTGAAAATTTTGTGAATATTTCATATTTTATGTTATTTAAACATTATACAAATACATAGAAGTACCTGCTATCATTCTTATTGTACATACCGTTATTTGAATAGCTGTATACAAACAAACAAAGTGTGTTAGGCATCATTTCAAGTAGGGTGTTTTATATTCTTCATAGTAAAGGAAGTTCACAAAAACCAATTTCTTGAACTTCAGATTTGTGCTTATGCTTTAGAGGTAATTACAAATCTGTCTTCTGAAAGTATTGTTTTTATTCATTTATTTTGGTGGGAAATATACTGCAATTTAGCAGCACCACTACTTAAATCACTTCACTACTAAGTTGAATTTTCACAAATATTTACAAACTGAGCAATTTTCCACAAGAAAAAAATCAATAGGCTGATAATAGTGCATACAAGTGACCCATTTAAGACATGGCTTGGCCTTAATGTTGACATCAGCTAGGCATAGGAATCCACCATGGGCAAATTATTGCACTGAATTTGAAACTGGAAATGTGAACTTAACCGTCTCTTGTGTTCAAACAAACTTGCCAAGTGAATCCACTCAAATGTTCCTGGAGTTTACCTGTTCAAGGTTGTTCAGGTGCCTTCCTATTTGACTCAAACTGCTATACAGTTTCCTTCTGGAAAACAATGAACACAACAATCATCGAATCACAAAATGGATTATTTTTCCAAATGAAGAAGCAGCAGATGATGAGAAGGAAAGACAAGAAGAGGATAAGCAGTTTCATTTTTGAAAAATGCAAAATATTTGGAGGTCCTTTATTAAAAAGCTAAATTTTGGGAGCCAGATAGCAAGAAACCTTTAGTGCTGCTATTTAAATTTTGCAATTGGATACAATCAATGATGCACTTTAAAAATGTTGTTGTTCAGTTGTGTCTGACTCTGTGTCTGCATTTGGGATCTTGGCAAAGATACTGGAGTGGTTTGCCATTTCCTTCTCCAGCTCATTTTATAGATGAGGAAACTGAGGCAAACAAGGTTAAGTTACTTGCCCAGGATCACACAGTTAGTATGTGTCTGAGGCTGGCTTTGAACTCAGGTCTTCCTGACGCCAGGATCTATCTAGCACTCTATCCCCTGTGCAACCTAGCTGCACCCTTTAAAACATTAATAATGGCTTTATAAATTAGTTGTGGTCGAATATTTTGAGATCATTAGCTAAAAAATAACCAAAAGCAAATTCCCAATTCAGTTTATAACCCAAATATAAAAAGAAAATCTTTGAAATTGATATCTAGAAATCTTTCACAAAGTATACCTTCCTGGGAATGTCCTGATGCATACAATGAATGTGGTACAAATTCCAATTTCAAGTTTTCACTGATGAATTAAAGCAGTATTTCTTAACTGTGGAAAATTTTACTACTATGCAAAAAACAGTAATACTCAAAAAGTTCTTAAAACCTATGCAGTGAAACATAAAAAAATTTTAACAAATAAAAAGTCATAGGGCACAAAATAGATGTATTTGCTTATCTAAAAATAGATAACTTTGGAACAATAAATCAATCAGTTATTCTATTAGGGGAACAACACACACAAGCAAATACAAAGTATATACAACATAAATAAAACATAATTTCAGAGAGGGCACCAACATCTGTCGGATCAAGAAAGGCCTCATGGAGGAGGTGACAAATTATTATGCATCCACAGCTGAAAAGAAAGAGATTAGAAAAAAAAACCATGACAATAACTATTTCTGATAAAATTCTGATGTCCAAAAGCTACATGGAAATGGTAAAAACTTACATGAGGAAGACTGACTCCTCAATAAATAAAAGATATGAATGCAGCAATTCTCAAATGGAAAAAATGCAAATTATCAATAACCAATTGAAAAACTGTATAAACTCTAATTGAAGAAATAAAAATTGAAGCAACTTTGAGAAATCACTTTTGTACTCATTGGAATGGAGAGTTAAAAATCACAAAATTCCATACTAGCAGAATTGTGGAGAACAATGACACACTATTACACTGATGTGGAACTGTGAACTGGTAGTTATAAGTGTTCATAGGTATATGTTCATATGTCCCAGCTATCCTAATGCTGAAATTATATACTGAAGATATTACTGAAAGGAAAAAACAATCCCACCTGTACAAAGAATTTCCTAATAATAGATGCCTTTTTTTTCCTCTATGGCTTATAAACTGCTTGAGTTGCATTACCTGATTTAATCCTTACAACCCTGTGAGAGATGTACCAAGTATCCCCTTTTTATAGATGAAGAAACTAAGACCCATAAAGGTTAAGTGATTTGCTCTAGGTCATCCAGCTAGTAAATATCAGAGGAAGGTCTTGTGACTCCTAAACTGGGTTCTCTTTTTTCTATGTCGAGCCTTTCCCAGAAGCACTATTTGTAATAACAACAGACTGGAAACAATCCATAATGTATAATGATCAGGGAATTGCCAAAACAATATGTTAAAGTAATGGAATATTATCATGCCTAAGAAACTACATAATTACTGTAAAGACATTTTTATGAATGAAAAAATTATTAAGCATTTACTATGCATTGTGACTACAAATACAAAGTGAAGGTAGTTTATGTCCTCATGGAGATTATATTCTAAAAGAAGGAGACAAAACATATAGGCAAGTGGCAACCAGAGCATGGTTTTTTGGTTTGGAAAGTTACAGGAAGTGAAGTTACTGGGCAATTAGACTGACACAGCTTTTCCAGTAGCAATGGTAATATTGATCTGATTATGATTCCAGAATTGGAAAGTATGTTTGGGGGGAAGAGACTTGCACCCATGATTTCAGTAAGGAAACTTCCTAAACCAATGCAATTTAAAGTTTTAGCAGGGGCTCATAAACTGAGTTTCATGAACTTGTTTGATTGTTTAAATATTTAAATAAATGTTAAAATAAAGTAAATATTTTGAAAGCTGTATTTCAACACAACAGGTTTTCTTTGTAATGCTATGTGTGTTTTTTTTTAATTTCATGCCTTTAAAAATATTATTCTGTAAAGAGGTCTATATAGGCTTTACTAGATTGCCAAAGGGGTCTATGACACACCAAAGGTTAAGAACTCTTATCTCAGAGGGTTCTTGGTGGGGACTGAAAGGTTAAGTGACTGGCCCATAATCACACAGCCAGTATGTGTCAGGCACAAGCCTGGAAATCACATTTTCCTGAACCCAAGGCCGTCTCTCTAAGCCACTATGCCAGGCTGCCATTCTCAATTGTGATTTTGAATGTTTGTTCGCTGGTAGTTATTAAATTTATGTAGAAAGAGAGCTCCCATTTGTAAAGAGTCCCCACATGTGATGGAGCCCATGTGTAATAACAGTCCTGAAGATATTAATAATCCATAGTGCTTCATTTGGGGGATGTTAAACAAGCAATCCCCCTCTTGTGGACCTGTACTGCCTGAGTACTCAATGATTTTATTCTCTAATAGGAGCCTATGTAGGAATTATGTAAATGACTCTTCTTTCTGCAAAAAGCATGATGCATCAGAAACAAAGCAAACCAAAAAAAATTCCCTTTTCTTAAAGAGTTTCAATCTCTAATTTTTGATCTTGGGAATTCTTGAATTTGGGGTTATCTGTACAACAACTCCCAAAGCTGATGCTACTCTTCTTGCCTAGATGGCTAGATGCCATGGTCACAGTGCCTAAGGAATTAAAAATTTACCCTTCTCCACACAGGAATTAGAACTGATAAACAGTGTTCATGAACTACTCTTTTAGACCAACTGAACATGTCTAACTTGACTGTGTGCTTCTGCAGGGACTCTACCACCACACCAGATATTACCATGTCTTGGGTTGGGGAAATATACTATCAGATGGGTCTCCAGTTCCCAACATGCTCAAAAAAGATAACAGAAAGGCAGAAAATACCCAAGAACTTGTGGGAGAGGGAGTCCCTTCTCAGGTCAACTGGGTAAGCACATGAAGACCACCATGTGATTCTGTCTCAAATCACCATTAACTGTTCCTAGAGGAAGGGAACCATATACGGGTTCAGATTACCCTCAGGAACATAGCTCTGCTCTACTACCAAGCTGGACTGTTTTCTGAAGATAAGAAAGAAGTCCAAATGAGCAAGAAAGAGACAAAGGGCTGACTTGGCCTTACAAATGACCTTTTTTTTTTTTATTACTATGGGAGAGTGTGGCTCCTCTAACAAGTGTCCATCCCCCTGAATCTCAGCCAATTATCTTAAGCTCCCTGTGTCCTATTAGCAAGGTGGGCAAGATAGGTTCATGATCCTCCTTCCTCCTTCCATTTACTTTACAAGTGGATGGGATACACAGTTATTTAGTGGTGGAATCTGAGTAAGAGTTCATGTCTCTGCCTACTATTCATTGTACAATACCATGTTTTCAGAATATAATATTGGTTTCATTAATTTTACCTCTGGAACTGGGGGGGGTGGAGAGAGAGAGAGCGAGAATGTTTGTGTGTGTGTGTGTGTGTGTGTGTGTGTTGTAAGTTAACATTCCTTCTTTGTTTGTTAGGTTATAATATAAAGTCAACAATCTTGGGATATTCTGAACCTAAGTGGTATGTAAAGTTATTTATTCCTTCCTCATCATATCAAATTTTCTTCTTATTTACCTTTATTGATGTATACTGTACACTTGTTTTCAAAAAATTAAGGTTCCATGTCTTCATACAAGTTGTCAGTTGCACCATCCTGCTTCATTTCACATAAATACACATCAATGGGTCCTTTTGTGCTTTTAATATGTACTGTTATAGAGTCCTATCAAAAGATACATAACACACAAGCATGGTTGAGAGTTCCATTAACCATATTTATTTCATTCACTAAGACAAACAATCGTTGTGGGAAATCTTCACAAGAACTTTTATTTTAATTATTTCCATTGTATTAGATACTCAATTTTATGAGAAAAACTGAATATAGGTTGAAAAATAACTGTTTTATATACAAAATACAGCTAGGTTAATAAATTAGTCAGGGTATATAAGACTTAAGGTTAGATATTCATGATGAAAGGTGTTGGGGTCAGTCTAACTATGTAAAAAGTTTACTTCCCCTGAATAACTCTCAGGTGATCAGTAGAACTGATAAATACACTATACAAACATGTATACGTAAATGTCCAAGAAATTAATTTTATCATTAGCACTGATAAATGTAGATAGATTTTATAAATATAAGATATTAAAATGGAAATGAAAACAACAGTCCCGTCTACCTTATGGGGTTGTGAAGTATTCACTAAACCTTAAAGCATTATATAATTATGAAAGCTGATAATTATGATGTGAAACAATATAATTGCATTCTTGCTTTGAAAACAGCAAAGCACTATGCAAATATATTATTATTAAAATGGGGATGAAAAGGCCTGCTCTGTTTATCTCTGCAGTTTGTGAGGAAAGTGCTTTCTAAACACTGAAATAATAAATGTGAGTTATGATAATTATTACTTAAGATAATTGATTTGATAACAGTGTTGCTTTAAAAACTAAAAGGCACTACTTATAATGAGTATGGCCAGGCATGTTGGCAAATACCTGTTAATTCCTGCTATTTAGGGAGCCTGAGGCTGATGGATCGCTTGAACTTGGGAATTCTGAGGTATAGTAGGGTCTGGTACCAATATGGTGGGCCCCCGGGGGTAGCCCAGGTTGAAAAGGAGCAAGTCAAAGCTTACATGCTAGTCTGCAATGGCCCTTGAATGGCCACTACACTTCCAACTTGGGTAAGACAGGGAAACCCAGCCTCAAAAACAAAATAAAATTTATTAAATTTAAATTAAATGAGTATGACATCACCTGCTTCTTAAGGTAGTTGTGAATAAAATGCTTCTCTTAAGGAGGAAAGTGTTTTGATAAAAGCACTAAAGAAATGGGAGATAGGAATTTATGACATTATAAAATGTTATGAGAGGTAGCATGAAACAAGTCTTGGGAAGATTAGGGTTCAAGGACCACTTCTAACACATACTGGCTGTATGCACAAAGGCAAAAGATTAAATCTCTCTGTGCCCCAGACAGCTCACTAAAACTCAAAATTGTGAGAAGATGCTGATCTGCACAGAGAAAGTTCTTTACACAGATGAAATCACAGGTCCAGTAAAAAATAAAATGCAATAAAACGGTACAATCTTCAGGTGATTAAGGTACTTTGGACCATTCATCTGGACAAGCCACCTCTTTAACTTACTTCAAAGACTCATGATTTCATTGGTGTGCTATACTTTCTCTTCTTACACAGATCACAACCTCTTTAAGACTCAATAGACAGTCTCCATGAATTTCAGTGGCCAAAGAATTAATTGCCCTGTGGCCAGTTTTTCAATGATGGATCAATCCACATTTAGCAAGGCTGATTTTCACATGATAGATGTAAAGTCCATCCCTGAGGCTATAGTTGAAAAGTTGATAAAACCTGCCAAAGCTTATGTGTTATCTCTGATAATCTAGGATCACCACTACCTCACAATAAAGAATTACAGAAGAATACTTTTCTTTCACTGTTTGAAAATTTTAAAACAAACAAGAGGAAAGAACCAATTTACCACCTGGCTACGGCATGTTATGACCCTATGGAATGAATTACTTTCTGGGAAAATGAGAAAACAGCATAATAATCAATACTCGGAGAAAGCCTGAAAAATTAAATAATGATGATTCATCTCCCCTAGGTTCAGATTTTTTAATGTTATAGTACTTTAAAATTTACTTAGTTGGTGGGCACATGTGGATATTCAGTTAAGCTCTTCTGTAAACTTATTTCTTAAGTGAAAGATGACACAGTACCAGAAACTTATTTAGACTAGAGAATATGCTGAAATTTCTCTTACATACTGATATTTCTTAACATTAAAGTTATAAACAAATATAAATGAATACCTACTTCTTTGGGAGGTGGAACATTCAATTTGGTTTCTTCTGGAGCTTTGACTGCAATAACAATCTGCTCATGGAACACCTGAAGGCTATGGATATCTTCATAGGTCACATAAGCTAGCATACATTCTTAGTCAAGGACTCTCTAAATTCAGAAGATATATGCTTTATGGTACAAAGCACTTTTTAATTCACATGAACTAAATAGTGTAGACTATTAAGCCATTATTTCTTTTAACTGGAGCAGGCTTTTAAAAAGACATTACAAGTAGGTCCATTTTTAATTGCTTACTCCAGCTACAGATGTTTTCAGTATATTTTCTATGTTTTCATTCTTTTTTTTTCATGTTTTTCTATGTTTTCATTAATTTTATTTAATCTAAATTTTGGTATTGGTTAACTAAATATGTTAAAATAAGTAAAGAAAAGGAAAAGTGCTTCTACAGCACACTAAATATTGAGATAAAAGAAAAATATAGTACTTTTCTCTATCAGGCTATCAAAATATCTCATACACTTTAAACTTCACAAGTGATTTCATGTTGCTTGGGACAAAGGGTGGGATGTTTACAGATATAAATGACAGAAAAAAAGTAGAAGTACTTATCTCCTCTTTAATTTTCTCAATCAAGAAGAATGTGTCTTTGGAATAAAAAACTTAAGTTGATAAGAAGATAGTGAGCAGTAGTCAGTCTAAATAAGTATAAAGGCTTTCCAGTCAAGAGGAAAGATGATGAGTTGAGGATTTACAGGGAGCCACTGACTAAAAAAAAAAAAGACAGTCAAACAAATCAAAAAGAAAACTTGAAGAGAAGAAATGCCAACACAAACATACATATACAAGAAAGTAAAAATTAACCACAATAGAAAATTAATAAGGAGATGAATGCCAACAAAAGAATGTCAGTTCAGGATTACTGACATACAAGAAAAATTTGAAAAACCAAAGAAGTCAGAGTATTTTGGAAAATCATCAAATAAAGCTGTCCAGGAGAAAAAAAACACAAGCTTACATACAAATAGAAAACAACACAGAAACGGGACCACAAAGATGGAGATTCAAAAATTCAACCCTCTTAGATCCATTATAGTTAAATACCAGCATTATAATGACAAAGAAAAAATACTGGTTAATAGACAAAAATATCAACTGATGTATATTAATCTGTATAGCCTAAGTAAAGGGACTATCTAAGAAATTAGAATATAATATACAAAACTAAGATACATGAACCCAGAAGTATCTATCCTAGAAAACTCAATACGGATATGTGGGATGACAAGGAGTGAGGAGTTGAGGTTGACTCCAAAGTTGTAGACCTGGATAACTAGAAAAATGGTAGTGTCCATGTCCAATATAAGGAAGTTAGGAAGAAGGCCGGGAAAAGGTAATGAATTATGTTTTGGACATGTTGAATTTTAGATGTCTGTGGGATATCCAATTTGAAATGTCTAAGGGACATTCTGTAAAATGGGACTAGAAATATAGAGTGTCTAGGACTGAATGTCTACTTCTAGGAGTCATTTTCACAGAGATCATTAAACCCATGGGAACTGATGAGGTTACTGAGAAAGAATGTAGATAGAGAAGATAAGAACCAGAACAAAATATTGGGAAATATATAGTTGAGAGCACGATACCGATGAAGAGGCAACAAAGTACACTGAAACGGAGCAGTTAAATAAGCAGCCAGGAGAACCAGGAGAGAGTTGCATCACAAAAACCCAGAGAGAAGACAGTATCCAGAAGAGGGTGGTCAACAGTATCAAATGCAGCAGAGAAGTCAAGAAGCAGGATTGAGGAAAGACTATCAGATCTGTCAACTAAGACACTGCTGGTAACTCTGAAGAAAGCAGTTTCACCTGAGTGATGAGGTCAGAAGCCAGATTGCAAATGGTTGAGGAATGAGTAAGAGAAGTGGGGACAACTGAGTAGAAACAGTTTTTTTCTAGGAATTTGGTTGAGAAAGGGAGGAGAAATATAGGATGATAGCTTGAGGGAATGGCAGGGCCTAATGAAGTTTTTTAAGGATGGAGGAAATTCAGGCATGTATGGAAAGCAAGTTGATATTTAGAGAATGGAAGAGTAGGAATGATTAAGGCTGCAATATACTGGAGAAAATGGGGTCAAAGGCACATATACAAGAGTCAGCCTTAGCAAGAAAGGCTGCCTCATTGTCAAACTAAGGGAAAAGAGGAGAGAGAAAGGAATGATGTCACAGCAGCTTTTTGAGATCTAAGGGTAGAGGCTGATTGAGTAAATCAAATCATCCTACCTTATCTAAAGCAAGTGATGATATGCTATGTTCTGAGTGAAGGGGAAAAAAAATCTCTGCTGTTCACTAAGTGTGAACAAGGCCTAGATACCTTCTTCTGTGATACAGGTGTAAGAGGAATTCTGTTCTAAGTGGATGAGATCATGGGCCCTGCATAAAACTATCAGGCTACTTGGAGGTTTGCTCATCTGGTAATGGAGAGGAGAGAGAGCTGCTCCCAAGTAGGAACTGTTTGAGGGGGAAAAGGCCAGACAAAATCATCTTTGTCTTGAGAGCTTCCTAACTTCTCCCCACCTCTACAGCACAGATGATAGAAATGTCTACATTGGGAGTCAAGGAAGACTGATGATTCCAACTAAATTCCAACTAAAGAAGTATTACTGGTGACTCACTACTGTGAGTTACTACTTTGTTATATGAGTTACTATTTTGCCACATACATTTTGTAAGCTCAAGCTTTTCCTTGGACTTCATATATACTAGTTGATATGTATATCACACACTTTGGGGGCAATGCTTTGCACCTTAGTTTGCATCTTAGTATACTGCCTTCGTAAATACTCCTCTCTAAAAGCTAATTAAGTCTAAGTGATATTAACTGATCATCAAGGTGGGAAGCTTCCTGGGGGAGGCTTGTGAGCCAGAGCATTAGAAACACACCCTTTAACCACTCAGGACTATGCTTAGATTCTGAGTGAATAGGTAGCCAACAAGTTCTGGGGACCAAACCTGTCAGTGCACATTGGGGTGGGACAGAGCATATGCTATGAAGATAAAGAGAACTTGAGAAAAGAACACTCATTGGATTGTGAGCTTCTTTAGGGCATAGATTGTCTTTGTTTTTAATTTGTATTTGTATCCCTAGCAGTTAGCACACAGCCTGGCATACAAAAGGTGCTTAAAAAGTGTTTATTGACTGACTCATATTAAATGGCCTTATTTTTTTCCCCATTTTTTTTCCTTAGTAAAACTGATGCAAAGCCCTTAGCTGAGAAGTGACAGAGATGTATGTGAGGTTTGAGAAGAGAAGGTTTGGAAAAGCTTTGGTGGGGAGTAAAATAGGATATAAATTATGGTGGAATAAGAAGGTGGAATAAAAGGATTGCCATAATGTCACAAGAGCCCAGCTGAAGTTGGATAAAGTGAATTTGTAACTACCTTAGTCTGCAATGGTTGCATGGTATCCTCCAGTTCTGTTCAGCAAGTCATCTGTAATTCTTAAGAGTTGTCTGTAGGTACTTTGAAGTTAAGTTCAGCCATAAAACTACTGTACACTAACGTCAGAATTTTAACTCAGGTTTCCTGATCCCAAGATTAACTCTCCATCCACAATGCTACACTGCCCAACTTGAAAAAACATGGAAATCTAAAATTTAGTCAAGTTTTTCTAGTCTAGTCTAATATTCATCCCAGTCTAATTTCTGTATTTTAGCTCAGAGTCACTCCTAAGGGGTATAAGTACCATTTTGGGAATAGGACTTTTGGAGGCAGCTGTGGTGGAATGAAAACAGCACAGGATTTGTAATCAAAAGGATTGGAATGAAATATGACTCGACCCATTACTACATAAGGGAGTCAATTACCCATCCTAACTTCAGTTTCATCATCTGTAAAATCAGAATCTTGGACTCTAAGGATCCTTACAACTCAAAATCCCTTGATTAGGTTTGGTACAGGAAGTGATTATGGTCAATGGGGTGAGTGAGTGGGGTAGGAAACTAAGGGCATGAAGGTACTGAGGGGCAAAATGGAAAACAGGTTGTGGAAAATCAAAGATACACTGACTTCTCCGCCATTTTCCCTAAAGTCTTCATGGCACTACAGTGCTTCAAATAATAATAACAACAACAATAAATAACAATTATAGAACACTATGTGCCAGGCACTGTACTAAGTGCTCTACAGTTATCTCATTTGATCCTCACAACAACCCTGGGAAGTAGGTGTTAGCCATTTGGCATACATACTATAAATTGCTGATGTCTAATGCCTAACACGGAATTAATTTCAAAGGTTTCAGTACTATCAATTCAGTCTAGTCTCTCCAATTCAATCCAGTGTCTCGTCTAACCTTTTCCCCTCTCCTGATTGGGACAGATGAAGGAAAGAAGAAGAAAAGTATCTGACAAAGTTTCCCATGTTCTTATGACCAGGATGGAGAGACATGGGTTAAATGACAGTACTGTTAGGTACATTTGGAACTGACCGAATTATGGGGCCCCAAAGTAATTATTAATGTGTTGATGTAAAAGGAAGTATCTTAATGAAGTATGCCAAGATTTTTTCGTGGATGAAGGCATGAAGCTGTGTTTGCCAAATTCGTGGATTTATGAAGAATGATAGTGTCAAGATCCAAATAGATCTGAGAACACTAGAGTGATGAACTGAATATTAAATACTATCCTGGGCAGCATTAAAATGGCACAGTGGCCAAAGGAAAGGATATATTTCTGATAAATTTGCCCTGATCAAACCATGTCTGAGGTATTGAGGTGTTCCAGTTCTGGGAACTACATTTTAAGTAAAGCATTGACAAGCTGGTCTGTGTCCAGAGGAGCAAGGCTAGAATGGTAAGAAGACTGGAAACCAATGATTGATAGAAGGAAATGGAGACGTGGATACTGAAGAATGGGAGACTTAGGGAGAATATGAGAGCTAACTTCAATTATATTAAGGATTGTCTTGTGGAAAGGGAATAAAACCATTTCCTATTTGGCCCTAGAAAGTAGAATTAGGAGCAGATGATAAAAATTGCAAATAGGAAGATTTTGGCTCAATGTTAGGGTAAAACTCTTTGAATTGTGATTAAAGATGTCCAGATTTAGAATGGACTGCCTTGAGACATTCTGCACTTTCCTTAATTTGATTTTTTAATGGAGGCTAATCAGTTTAAAATGCTACTGATTCTTTCTCTGCTGTGATTTTTTTAAATTCACCTTGTCCTTTTGTTGGTAATAGCCACTGTTATTCTAATTCTGAATCACAGATTAGGATCTTAAGGGATGGAATATACCTCAGAGGTCATTAAGGATGGTAACCAAGTATGGATTTACTTTGTATAGAATATACATTCATGTTTTTCCCCTAGCAGAAAATATGTAAGCCCTCTGAGGACAAAAACTGTTTTACTCAGTACCTGGCATAGAAGCTGGCACATGACAAGTACTTTATAAACAAATGCTTGTTGAATGAATGAATATTCATTTGGTTTGTTTATTTGTAATGGTAAGGAACTACCAGATTATATATCCAATGACTAGAAAGTAAATTATGGCATATTAATGGATATAATATCATAAAAAGATAAATATGAATAGAAAGGAACATAAGATACATATGAAGTACTGCAAAGCAAAGTTAGCTCAAACAGAATCGTATATACATTGACTAAAGCTACATTTAGAAAAAGTCTTTGGAACATCTATCAACACAATGACAAAGCAGGATTCCAAGGGACTGAAATGAAGAACACTACTGCCTCAAATAAATGCAATGGACTCAAAATACAGAACGAAACACATTTATGGGCATGGTTAATGAGAGAATTTGTTTCACTTGAATTATGCATATTTGAGGATATTTAAAAATTTGTTTCCCAATAAACAAGTATTGCTTGTTTCTCCTTGCTTCTCCACCAACTGAGGGAAAAAAAGGAAAATATTTATTAAGCATATTTGTTATAAAGATTTTCTTATTCTTCTCGTTTAGGTGGGGAAGGGAAGGGTGAAGTAGGGGGGGAAAAGTTTGTTTAAAAAAAACAACAAATCCAAAGAATCAATATTTGTTTGATTTTCTGGTCTAGACCTATGATTTAATTATCATAAAGACCTCTCAGTAGGAAAAATTACTCTACAAAAGCAGAACAGCAGCTCTTTTAGAACTCGTGGTCTTACAGTTGTTTAAAGAGCTGAGAGGTTGAGTGACTTTCTATGGATGCCCAATCAGTTTATGTGCTGGAGCTCTCTCTCAACCAAAAGTGGAACAGCTAATAACTACCTGACCTGCTAAAATGATCATTTCATTTCTCAAAAGGTAGAGGAACCAACAAGGGAAAACTGTATTCTAGATCAGATTCTCACTAACAGGGATGAACTGGTTGCTGGGGTGGAAATGATGGGAAACTAAAGCAGAAGTGACCACTCAACCCTAGAGATTATGATAGAGAATGAAAGGAAACTGAGCATAGTTTTGATATGCACTCTAAATCTGGGGAAAGCATATTCCAAAGGGTTCAGAGGATTCCATGCAATAAAATGCTTCAGGAGAAGACTGCCCAGGAGGGATAGAAAATGTTCAAGGATGAAATTCTGATGACACAAGAGAAACTATTCCAAGAAGGAGGAAAAAAGGGATTTGTTTGAAGGGACTTGATGTGGATACACAAGAATCACACCAAGCAACTTAAATTTTCATCTTCTCTTGTTTGGTCATAAATTCTTCCATTCTCCATAAATCTGATAGATAAACTATTGCTTGCTCTCCTCGTTTGCTTATAGTATCAGCCTTTATATCTAAATTGTGTACCTATTTTGATTTTATTTTGGTATACGGTGTAAGATGTTGGTCTTTGCCTAGTTTCTGCCATACCATTTTCCAGCCTTCCCAGCAGTTTTTGTCAAATAGTAATTTCTTATCCCAGAAGCTGGAGTCTTTGGGTTTATCAAATAGTAGATTAGTATAGTCATTGACTGTTGTGTCTTGCCTACCTAACCTATTCCACTGATCCCCCATTCTATTTCTTAGCCAGTACCAAGTAGTTCTGATGATTGCTGCTTTATAATACAATTTAAGATCTGGTATGCCTAAGCCACCTTCCCTTCCATTTCTTTTCATTAATTCCCTGATATTCTGGACCTTTTGTTCTTCCAGATGAATTGTTATTATTTTTTCTAGCTCTATGAAATAATTTTTTGGTAGTTTGATTGGTATGGCACTGACTTACATGCAAACTTTAGAACTACAATGAGGAGGGAACAAAAAAGTTGGAGTCATGGTTTCTTCCCTCAGAGATTACAGCAACTTAGATTTTTAAAAAGAAATGTACAGAAGAAAAAAAATCAAAAACCAGGTAATAGAAAACATGAATATAAGAACATGGGATGGTACTGAAAAGATAGTGTCAGGAATTATAAATCTCAGAGTGAGCTGAGGCTATCAAAGGAAACTAAAGACAATAAGGATTTTGATTTGGTTTTGGTTTATTTTTTAACTATATAGGGAGAAAAGGGAGGATCAACTATAATATGACCTTTGTTTGGAACAGATGGGACAGTGAAAACTGACAACACAGAGAAGACACAGCTGCCCAATTATTCTTTTGTTTCTGGGGTTTTTTTTTCTGGGAAGGAGAATGAGCTTTACAATGGAAATGACAACAAAAATGACTGCCCTAGGTAAGTAAGAGCACCTAGCTGCCCTTAATGCATTCAAGTCACCTGGCCCAGATGAACTACATCCTGAGGTTCTGAAAGACGTGATTAGTTAGCCACTGTCAGTGAACTGAAAGAAGACATGAACCATAAGACTGGCGAAGGGTAAACGTAGTCCTGATTTTCAATAAAGGGAAGAGAATAGAACTGGCAAACTATAGACCAGTAAGCTTGGACTTTGATGACTGTGAAAATTCTAGAACAGAAATTAAATACATGTTTAATGAAGATTTAGAAAGGAAAGACAAAGAACCAGCATGGCTCCATCAAGAACTGGTCAGGCCAGAGTAACCTCACTCCCTTTTCAGGCAGGATTTTTCAGTTTGGTTATATTAGCAGTAGTTGAATTATTTTAGACATATCACTTAAATAAAGTAAAACACCTAAAATCAAATCAAAGAATCTTGGAAAAGAGGCACCTATCTTTGAATCTTTGAAGGCACCTATGTTAATCTCCCACTCTACTCCCTCTATAACATTCCTGAGAAATTGATTTGACTTTTTCTTCAATACCTTCAGTAACAGGGATTTCAATAACTAGTTTCATCTTGGGAAAATTTTTAATTGCCCTTTAAAATTGAACCAAAATCTGTTTCCCTGTAAATTCTACCCATTTGTATTAGTTTTTCATTCTAAAGTTATAAAAAGTCTATGTGAGTGATATGGTAAGGTTAGGGAAAGCTCTAAAAAAAAGCAAAAAAAAATAAAAGCAAAACCCTTGACTCATGATTTAAAATTAATCTGAAGTTTTACTTCTTCAACTGTTAAAATAATGAATCCTATTTCTTATTAAACAAATAAAAAGAACTCCACATGCTGACCTTAATACCCAAAATAAGTGGCTTTAGAAGCAGGTATAAAATTTAATAGTAAAGGATATTTGGCATTTTCTTTGTCATCTGTTAATTCAAATAACTGGTGAGCACAGATTTTATTTAACTCATCCAAAGTATCTTCCATTGCTGATAAATTAGAAAGTTCATCCCTTAGCTTCTTTTGCTGTGCTATCTTTCCATCAATACTGCTGAGGTCAGATCCTCTTTAAAAAAAAAGTTGAATATGAAGAATAGAACACAGTAACATATAGAGTATGAAAGAAGAAAACTTTTAATCTAGGTTACTGTACAACATTTATAATAATAGAAATTAACACTTTCACCATTACTCTTCTAAATCTTTCTTTTTGTGCAGATCAGTGGGAGTGTGGTTGTATAAAACACTGACATAGCAACAATCAATATCAAAACAACTAAGCACTTTAAAGTTTCATATACAAATGTAGACACCTACTATTTATCTGCTAAAACAACTTAATTCATAGTGAATTTTTCTACTGACTTACACAATAAAATGGGTTATGCCTTTACATAAAAACATCTCTCAAACTGAGCTGAAAATTTTATATTAGAGTATTAAACTTTTGGAACTAAAACTTAGCAGAGGACTTAAATAAGGATCATATAATCTATGTTTGCTAACCATACTGTCATAGTCATTCGAGCTCCCTCCAACCAAGTTTAGTGCATAATATTGGTGATGATTTTTAGCATTTTGTTTTTTAGAAATGGAAGGGGCTTCAGAGATCAATTATTTGGCTATCATCCAAATATTTTGTAAATGCTAAGTAGATATCACTGTGCTAGAATCTGAGGGAGATAACCAAGATAAATGTTTAGTGAATTGAACCACAGAAGTATATTTAACTCAGGATATTTATGAATTACGGTAACGATAATACTATAGCTTCCCATTGTTTCAATGGGAAAATTTGAACTCAGTTCCACTAGGAGTTCAAAATGCCAAGAACATATCCTTCTACTACTCCCCCACCACCATGCAAGCTGGTAGAGGTTTTCCCTATACTACAGGTCTTCACCCAAAGGCTGGATGGCTATTTATTGGGTATATTGCAGAGAATACTCTTATTCAGTTATCAGTTGGGAAGATGGCCTCTAAACTCCCTTCCAACTTTGAGATTCTGTGAATTAAATTATTTATTATATCTACACTATGCTACACATTAGGAAGATCAAGATAAAAAAGGAGCTAGGGAGACCAAGAGCACCATCGCTGCCCTCGAGGATATATGCAAAGAAAGGTACACAAAAATTATAATGAAACAGAACAAGTTCATAACAGAAGTACAAAATGCTATAACATTTTTGAGAAGAAAAACATTTTTGACTGATGGAGTTCAAGGAAGACTGATAACATTTGATCTGCATCTAATATGAGGTTCTTAACCTTTTTTGTGTCATTGACCCCTCTGGCAATCTGCTAGAGCTATGGACCCCTTCTCAGAATAATGCTTTTAAATACATGAGATAAAATACACAGGATTACAAAGGAAACTAATTACATAGACATAAACATATTGAAATCTTTTTAAACAAGTTCATAGACCTCAAGATAGAAACCTTGGTCTAAGTACAGTTTGGTGGGAGTACAGAATACATGAAGAAGAGCAGGATGAAATGAGAGAGATCTTGGTATGGTGGACTGGCCTGGGAATCATAATATCTGTGTTCAAGATTTGCAAGTCATTTTAACTCTGAGCCTCAGCATCTTCATCTCTAAGAGAGGTATAACAATTTTTGAAACACTTACCTCACAGAGTTGTCAGCAAAGTGCTTTTAAGACCACAAAGTAACATAGAAATGTCTACTAATAATATTATTGTTATTACTAAACATGGGAAGATTGCAGACTGACCATTAAGGGCATTTAATGTCAAGCTAAAGAGCTGGCAATAGGGAACCACAGAAGGTTTTTGAATTAGGCAAGTGACATAATCAAATCTGCATGAGGATGATTAATCATCCCTACATTTTATAGACAAGGGACCCTAAAAGATTAGGCAATTTGTCTATGATGACAAGTAGTGATAGAGCCAGGACTTCCACTATTCTCTTGATAATACTTCTTTTTTTTTGTTTTTGTTTTTTACTTTTTTTTTTAGGCATTTGGGGTTAAGTGACTTACCCAGGGTCACATAGCTAGTATGCGTCAAGTGTTTGATCTGAGGCCAGATTTGAACTCAGGTCCTCCTGACTTCAGGGCCGGTGCTCTATCCACTGCACCACCTAGCTGCCCCGATAATACTTCTAAAAAACCCTTTTTTATTACTTCTTTGTCCCTGGCTGGCTGCAGTTACATTCAGGCTTTTAGTCTTTCAAATCTGGTATCTATCAGTCAGCCAGATTTAGAGTAAACCACATTAATCTGTTGAATTTTAATTTAGAATCGTAAAATCACAGATTCATAGCTAAAAAAGACTTTGAGGCCATCTAGTCTAACCTCCTCATTTTACAAATGAAGAAATTGAGGACAAGAGAGGGGAAATCATTTATCTAGAGTCATCCAGGCAATCATTGGCAGAGCCAGAGTTTGAACTCGTATTCTTTGACTCTAAATCAAGCATTCTTCCACATCACCAAGAATCAAAATTGCTGGGGTCTTCTTTTTAATAACCAAAAAAACTACAAGTAAATCTGTCCATGTTGAACATATACAAATATTTCCTACAACTGCTAAATGAGTTGAAACTGAACTGATATTCATAAAAATAAGCAGCGTAGCATCATATAAAGACTATAGCAATTAGGGTTAGGAAAATGTGGATTCACAGCCTGCCTCTGACCATTACTAGCTACTCTATGTGACCCTGGGTAAGTCACTTAAACTCTAAGCTTTAAGTAACTCTCTCTAAGGTTTCTCAAAACCTCTAAGATTTCTCTGCTAAGTTAGCATAGGTTTTGATCTGCATGGGTGGAGGAATTCTCATATTAATGAAATTACTAATCTTTGATGTACTCATTCATGATACATCTTTGTGCTCATGAGATCATGGGACTTAGTTCTAAACGAGGTCCTAAATGTCATCTATGGTCCTATGATTTTTGATCTTTTTACAACTGAGAAAACTGAGCTGTGATTTCCCCAAAATAACAAGTAATATATGGTCACAAATTTGCAGGGACCTTAGAGTTTATCTAACCCATCTTCCTCATTTTACACTTGAGGAAAATGAAACATATTAAATGATTTGCCCAAGGTCACAGAAGCAATAAGTCATAAAGAACATATTTGAACCCAAATCCTCAGACTCAAAATTCAGTCTCATAATTATCATTTGTACAATTTCTGCTTTTAAAAATTCTTCCATATGTTACTGCAAGTTTTCATAAGGACTTTATCTTGTCATCATTATTTTCTACACTATTCACTACACAATATTGTCCTGTCTCCGTAAAAAAAAAAAATGAGCTTTCTTGGTCTCTATTAATCCTTCTGAGGTTCTTCTAAGGTGCCCTCCTCTTTTTATCTTGCTAATTTCTTTCCCAAAATCACAGAATTTTTGAGTGGTAAGGGAATCCAACACTATCTAAGTCTAACTCACATTCCTAGGGCCTTCAGCAGAATCATGTGATTTTAGAGTCTCAGTTAATTCCTTCCCATAGTTATAAATCAATTCAAATCCAGTAAAACTATCTTGATCTAATAATTCTTTAAGTCTCAAATCAAATTCTTCTTCCTTCACAAAGTTTCCCCAGATCACTCTGGCACATAATGATCTCTTGTTTGCATTCCTGTCAGACTTACTGTTATTTCTTTTTTGAATTGGGGTTGGGTTTTTTTTGCTGTTTATGTCTTCTGTCCATAAATCAATTGTAAACTCCTTGAAGGTAAAGACCTTCATGAAGGCACAATACCTTAAATGTAGGAATCATCAAAATATTTAATGGATTACAGCCACCCAGACATACATACATGCCTTGATTTGTGATCATGAAAAACTTAATTTCTGCAAATCAAATCACATTTTCCATTGATTTTTTAAAATGTATTTAAAATTAAGTTAATAAATATTTGTTGAAGGTCTTCTATGTGTAAGGCACCATGCTTGATGATGATAACTATTCAATGGCAACGACTCCTAAAACTTTAGGTTTTCCTACTTTCAACAGAGTACTATTTAACAGAATACTGAAGTTCATACTAACACCTAACTTATGTTTTATACTTTCAGATTACACAGTTCCAGTTTTCTTAGAACAAATCATACCTATCCAGCTAAGAATCCATAATAAATTTAAAGCCAACTCACATCCACTGAATACAGTTCTTAGACCTTTTCTGAATGAGTTCAATTCCATGTAATACATTGGTGATGTCATATACTCTTCGTTTCCCTACTCCTAATACTGCAGCAACCTCTTTTAAATGAAGAACACCACCAGGTGCAGATTTGAGAAGGTCCATAAATTTTCGAGTGTAATAACACAAAGATGCATTATAACGAGCTTTTGATACTTCTGGGAAAACAGTAAAAACACTGTGTTAGTATAATTTAAAAATATTCATGCACATTACTTGACCATTAAAATTTTTTATAGGATTATAAGATTTAAAGCTGGAAGAGATCTTAGTGATCATCTAGTCTTATCCCATTCACTTCACAAATGAGAAAATTAAATGACCTATCCAAATTCAATCTTTTCTCTTCATACTTTCACAGTTGTCCTATTCCAATGTTTCACTATTGCATGGAAGTGATTAGGATTCTCAAAAGCTATACCAGCAGTTTTCCTGACTGGAAAGACTTTAAGTCTGGAAAACAGACTATCTGTCTAGTTTAATTAAGTATACAATAGGCTTATCAATAGAAAATTTATCAATATAAGAGGATGGATTTTTTTTCAGTCACAGCAACTCAAAAAATCTGTGTGGGTGGTGATGGTAAGGGTGACACAGTTATTATCAGTGAAAAAGATATTTACATCAGTGAGATCATGGATTTTCCAAAGTATCAAAATATCTTCTTTATAACCAAATAGACATGGAAGGTCCCTAGGGCTGTACTTTAAGGCTCCATTCTTGTTCCTGTTCTGCTAAACTTTTTTATCAGTGACTTGAATGAAGGCATAGTTGACATGTCAGATTTGTAGAGGACAAGAAGCTGGGAGGTACAGTTAACATTTTATTTGACAGAAATTAGATCCAAAAAGTTCTATTTAATTTCTAACAATAGAGAAAATCTAATAGGATGAAATTTAATTCTTTCCTCCTAACTCAAATTCACATAAGATAAAATTTAATTCACTAAGTTAATTTGATTAATGTAAAGTCCTGCACATAGAGTTTTTTAAAAACCCAACTGAAAAATTACAGCATGGAAGAAATGCACGTAGGCAATAGTCATATAAAAAAGACCTGAAGTTTTAGTGGATTACAAACTTAATATGAAGCTGTTAATAGTATGAAATGGCAGATAAAAAAGTTGTGATTATTAGGCTAAATTAACAAAGAACAGTATCTAGAAGAAGCAAGTCCCTTTAAATATTAGCCTGTAAGAACTCATGCAAGATCTTATGTTAAGTTCTGTACATCAGATTTCTGGAAGGCAAAATTCAGGGGTTATAGTTAAGGGTGTCCAGGGTTATTAGGGGACTTGGCACCATTTAATAGAACTAGTTGAAAGGAACTAGAGAACATTTGGGAGCATGCTTTTGGTTTCCAAACCAATTATAGAATCACAGATTTGGAGCTTATAAGGGCCTTAGATGACATCAAATTCAGTCCCCTTATTTTACAGATGAGGAAATTGAGTCTGAAAGAGGTTGAGGGACTTGCCCGGGGGTAACATAGCTAATAAATGTCTGCTACAGAATTTGAACTGTCTTCTTGACTGTAAGGCTAGCATTTTATCCAGTGAGCTGCCTCACTGCCTACTAAGGAAGAATTAAGATTTACTCTGCTTGGCCCCAGAAAAGAGGTTAAGAATTACTGGGGAGGGGGCAGCTAGGTGGCAAAGTGAATAGAGCACCAGCCCTGAAGTCAGGAAGAGCTGAGTTTAAATCTAGCCTCAGACCAAACACTTGACACTAGCTGTGTGACCGTGGGCAAGTCACTTAACCCCAACTGCCTAAAAAAACAAAAAAGAATTAATGGGGAGAAGTTACAGGAAGGCAGCCTTCAGCTCAAATAAAAGAAGGACTTTCTATTTGAACAGCCCCAAAATGGAACAGGCAACCATGGAAAGCAGTAAGTACCCTATTACATGAGATAGTGAATAACTGGGAGGCTGGATTTTGAGGAGTATTCTGGAGACCTGTGTCCACTTTTCAGGAATTCATGTTTCAGGAAAGTATGGGAGCAGATCACCTCTAAGGTCTCTTCCAACTCAAAAACTAGGTTTCAACAGAATGACCACAGGCAACAGCAAAGACACTTACAGGAAGTAGTCTACACATTACCATTATTTAATCTCCAGCGATTTCTCACTTTAGATTTGCCATGTACTTTAATATTCCAACAGAGCAAATTCCTTTAACAGAATATCATCATCAAGCTGGGAGGTACAGTTAACATTTTATTTAACAGAAATTAGATCAAAAAGTTCTCTTTAGTTTCTAACAATAGGGAAAATCTAATAGGATGAAATTTAATTCTTTCCTCCTAACTCAAATTCACATAAAATAAAATTTAATTCACTAAATTAATTTGATTAATGTAAAGTCCTGCACAAAGAGTTAAAAAAAACCCAACTGAAAAATTACAGCATGGAAGAAATGGAGGTAGGCAATAAAGTCATATAAAAAAGACCTGAAGTTTTAGTCTTGATATAATGTAATGTAATATAACGTAATATAAGTAAACACTTCCTAAAAATTAGAGCCATCCAAAAGTGGAATGTGCTGCTTTGGGAGGCAAGGGGTTCCCCCTCACTGGAGGTCTTTAAACAAAGATGGATGAGGTATGATATAGACTAGAGGAGAGTCTATTTTAGGTATGATTCGGACCAGATAGCCTCTAAGGATCATAGATTTAGCATAGGAAGGAAATATATTCTATATAATTTACTCCAACCTCATTATTTTACAGATGAGGAAACTGAAATCCATAAATCCATAAGTGACTTGCTGAAGGTCACACAGTTAGTAAATAGAAAGCCCACAATTTGAACCTAGGTTCTCTGGAGCTCCAAATCCAGTTCTTTTTCCACTACTTCCTTCCAAGTATATGATTCTGTAGTGTTTTAGGATTCACAAAGTGCTTTCCTCACAACTTGCTATTAGTAGGAAAATATATTCGTATAGGTACTAATATGCCCATTTTACAGATAAGGAAACCAAGGCTATGGTAACGTAAATGACTCACCCATAGTTACTGAGTTATTAAGCAGAGAAGCAGAATTTGGACACAGGTCTCCTGAATACTCAGTCTGGTATTCTTTCCATTATGCTAAGCTGCTTCTCACCTTTCAACAAAAATTCCTTTTTTTTTTTTTTTTTGGTTAGGCAACGGGGTTAAGTGACTTGCCCAGGGTCACGCAGCCAGTAAGTGTTATGTGTCTGAGGCCACATTTGAACTCATGTCCTCCTGAATCCAGGGCCGGTGCTCTATCCATTGCGCCACCTAGCTGCCCCCTCAACAAAAAATCTTTAAAAGTATTTATTTGTCTGATGCACACTCATGATGTTCTTTTCTCTCTTTCTATGCACATGACTACAAAAGTGTCTTGGAACTTTACTGAACCCTAATTATGTAACACCTTACCCCCAAACACTGTGATTCTTTAATTCTTTTAACATGGACAATTTAAAGTCTTCTTTGAACAAAAATAAACTCTGTTCACTACAATTAAACAATAATTGTCACATCTGTAGACTATACTTTTTCAATTTTTATTGATCTTTTTTATTTTTATACCACTTTAACTTCCAATTATATCCTCACCCTTCTCATTCCCAGAGACCCACCCCTTGTAACAATGAATAAAAGAGTTTAAAAAAGCAGTTCAACAAAACTGATGAACACATCAGTGGAGTCTAACACTGCATGCAATTTTCCAAGCCTATGGTTCCTCATCTTGCAAACTGTATATTAATGAATGCATAAAGGTAATTAAGGTTTTAAACACCATTAGGATGTCTTTTTCTTGCTTCTATAAACTGTCATATTATGTAGATTTTAAAATATAAAAATGCAAATTGGATATTTTCCCCCTGGATTTCATAAGCATTTATTTCCATTAATATTGGTCAGAAAAGGTGCTATATAATACTCAAACACCCTGACCTATACAAAATTTACAGCAAGACATCAGCATAGGTAGTTTTCTCTCTCAGATGGAATAAAATGACATATTTCCTAATTCCAGAAAGCCTGACCATTTTCCTCCATGGTGCTGCAGATGATATGGGGAATAAAAGCAACTGATACCCAACCAAGGCATGACAGTAAATGTAATTGGTTAGTAACCAACCAGGATTGAGACAGAAAAAGAATAAAACATGACCTGCTAAGTTTTTGCAAGGCAGCCTTCAACAGCAAAATGTTTCTCCCTCCACATACCATGAAAAACTCTATACTGGCATAGTTGACTTTCAAAATAATGCTGAGCAAATTACTTGCCCTGTTATAATACAGCAATGGCCTTAGAGGCTTTGCCAGAAATATACTTGTTGCCATAGATATAGCATTCTTTACTGTATTCCTAGCTTCCTCCAAGAGATTTGTTCATATTTTTAATAAGCTGAATATGCACAGGGAAATAACCTGAATATTTAAGTACATAAAATTAAAATATACAATATTAAAAATATGCAATATTTCACTTACTTTTCTTGGGAATGTTTTCTTCTAAGTTATTTTTTATTTCTGGTAGCTTAAAAAAAAAGGAATATGTCAGATTGTATTTAGTTGATAAATTATAAAAGATAATATAAGTAAAAAGCATTTCAATGGGTTATGTCTCCTGTGGTGACAAAGTGGACCTGGCAAAGCTTTATCACCTTAACCAATTTGTCTTTAGCATTAAATCCAATTCCTTCTCTCCTCTGAAAGTATGTGGTTTTATACATCTTTGGAAGGATCACAGACATAAATTCCCACATAAACACAGAAAAGCAATAAAATGTTTGCTAATTTAAAAATTAAAACAAAAACAACTGCTACAGTGACCATAGCTGATAAGGTATTCAACATTCCAAGATATGGGAAACAGGTATGTTTCATTCTATGTTTTCTTTGTCCAGACTTGGTAAAATTGCTCATAGTTTGCCTTCCTTTTATTGTTCTTTTCATTTACATTATTGTAATTATAACATATTTCTTCCTTTTTTCTCCTTCATTCTGCATCAATTCATGTCTTTCCATTTTTCTCTGAATTCCTCATATTTGTCACTTTATTTTTTCTTTTTTTTAAATTTTATTCTGAACTTAAGAAATAAAAGAAGCATTTCCATAACACAGTAGAATAGAAAAAAAAGATGATTAAAAATGAAACTACAAAACTATTATGTATAACTTGCTATTCCTTTTTAAATATACAATAAAATTATCATGTAATCTTCCTTTTCTTCTTCCCTCATTTTTTCTCCCCCTGCTGCCCTAGAGATGGCTACCATTGAAACCATTCTATACATTCTTATCAGTTTTTTCTCTGAATGCAGATAGCATCTACCTTCATAGGTCCTTTGTAGTTAACTTGGTCATTTATTTATATATATAAAAGGCCTCATTTATTGATACTTAGACTGTCTCAATGCTTTTCCTATACTAATATTACCGAAAACAAGACCTCTATCTGGCCCTTGAAAATTTTCTTTTACAGAGCCATTTCATTACTTTGGTACGTGCTGATGTTAGATTTGACATGTATATAACTTCTAAATCTACATCTCCAGGGTTTAATTTTCTTTCTAAAGTCTTGAATCTCTATACAACTAAAGGATATCTTCACAGAGCAATTCTGACCTACCAGAAACTTAGTATGATGACATCTCATTTATCTGGCATCACTGCAAAACCATATAAATGTGTTTTCTAAGTCATAGAAAGACCCAGGTGGGTTTCAGTAAAATATGCCAGAAGTAATAGGTATTTACTGGAAGTTTTCATTTAGAGGTTGAATGATCACTCAACAAGCATTTATTAAGCACCTACTATGTGATGAATACTATATTAGCTCATAGTAAGCACTTAAAAAATGCTTCTTGACTAAATGACATAAAAAAGAAAACAGTTCTTGCCCTCAAGTTTACATTTTACTGGGGATAGGGGTGGGGTAGTGAAGAGGGGAGGACATGGACACATATAAATACAAATTCCATCCAAAGTAAATGGGCAGGCACAGAGAGATTGTACTAGATGAACCCTTAGATGTCTTCCATACCTTGAGATCCTAATTTTCTGCTTCTGTGACTATGTTGGTAACTGCTAAAATAAAGGTAAGAGGCAAATCCAAGAACCATGGGGGGGGGGGGGGACGGTCGGACAATGACACATGATGACACTTCAAATTCATTAGCCTCCATTTGAAAAAATCAAGTGAAAGGGGACCCACAACATTCCAAGGCAATCCTTTCCAAATCTGGTCATCTTTAATCATAATTAAAGGAAGTTTACCCCTATATTGAGCCAAAATTTTCCTATTTGCAATTACCACCCTCTGCTTGTAGTTCTGTCTTCCAGGGCCAAATAGATCAGGTTTTATTCCCCTTCCACAAGGTAATCCTTAATATAAATGAAGTTAGCTATCATGTTCCTCTGAAGTCTCCTATTCTTCAGTATGAATTATCTCCATTTCCTTCCATCAATCATTGGTCTTCACTGCTCTTCTGGATACATATCAGTTAGTCAATGCTTTACTGAAAATGTGGCTCCCAGAACTGAACACAGTATTTCAGACATGGTCTGATTAGAGCAAATTTATTGGAAGTATTATATCCTTTCTTTTGGCCACTGTGCCTTTTTAATACTGCCTCAGCTAATATTGACATTTTTGGCTGTCATGATATTACTGACTCAGATTGAGCTTCCAATCCCATAAAATCCTCAAATTTTATTATATTACTCCAACAAACTTATGAAATTGATTTTTTTAAACTCAAGTACAGAACTTTAATTCCTATTAGATTTTATCTTTTTAGATTTAGCTCATCATTCTGGTGTTCTGAGATCTATTTGGATCCTGACTTTTGTCATTTATTGTGTTAGCTATCCTTCTTAACTTCATAGCATCCACAAATTTAGCAAGCATGATTCTATGGCTTCATCCAACTCACTGATCAAAACACTGAACAGCCAAGGGTCAAAGAGATTGATCACTGGGGCACTCCATTACAGACTTCCCTTCAAGATGATATTAACACATTAATAACTACTTTTGGGTCCAGTACATCAATCAAGTCTACATCCATCTATCTACACTATCATCTACCCTATATATCTCTGCCTTGTCCATAAGGATAACAGGAGAAGCTTTATCAGCTACTTTGCTAAAACCCAGGCAAATTATCTACAGATTCCCCTGATCTACTAGCCTAGGTACCTGTCAGAAGGGAAATGAAGTTAGTCTGACATGATCTGTTCTCAGCGAAGCCAAGCGATCTCCTAGTACTCAGCACTTTCTTTTTCAAAGCTCATAAACCATCACTTATTATTCATTCTAGAATTTTGCCAGGAATCAAGATCAAGATCACCAGCATCCTATAGTTTGGTACTACACTGTCTTCCAGTATCAAAAATGAAAACGTATGCCCTTCTGAAGTCCTGTAGCACCTCTTCCTTTTCCATGATTTTTCCAAGATTATTGCACAGGAACTTGGCAATCCCAGCTGCCAGTTGTCATTTTAAAGGTCCAGAATCACAGAATTTTAAAGCTACAAGGGCCTTCAGCCATTTAGTCCAAGCCACATATAAAAAGAATCCTCAACATAATATACATGAAAAAGTGGTTCTCTGTACAATGCCTGAAGACCTCCCAATAAGAGGGAGCAGAAGCTGCCATTACACTAATCATTTTTCTCCCAGATTACTAAAAAGCCTCATTGCTACTCTCTTTGCCTCTAGTCTCCCACACTTCTAAAATCTACCTAGTAAAGTGGTCTACTGATTCAACCATTCTGGAGACCAATTTGGAACTACACCCAAAGGGCTATAAAACGGTGCGTGTTCTTTGACCCAGCAATACCACTACTAGGTCTGTATCCCAAAGAGATTAAAAAAAAAAAAGGACCTACATGTACAAAAATATTTATAGCAACTCTTTTAGTGGTGGCAAAGAACTGGAAATTGAGGGAATGGCTGAACAAGATGTTGTATACGATTGTGATAGAATACTATTGTGCTATAAGAAATGACAAGCAGGATGCTCTCAGAAAAACCTGTAAAGACTTACATGAATTGCTGCAAAGTGAAATTAACAGAACCAGGAGAACACTGTAAACAGCAATATTGCATGATGATCAACTGTGAATGACTTAACCATTCTCAGCAATACAAAGATCCAAAGACAATTCTGAAGGACTTATAATGGGAAAAAATTAAAAAAAAAATTCACCTCCAGAGAAAAAACTGATGGAGTCTGAATGCAGATAGAAGTATAGTTTTTCTTTATTTTAATTTTTCTCGGGTTTTTTTTTGTCTGTCTTTTCTTTCACAACACAAGTAACTTGGAAATATGTTTTGCATGACTGCACATGTATAACCTATATCGAATTGCGTGCCTTTTCAATGGGGGGGTAGGGAGGAGGGAGGAAGAGAATTGGGAACTCAAAAAAAAAATTAAAAGCATGTTAAAAATTATTTTTACATGTAAAATGTAATTGGGGGATCAAATATTTAAATTACAAAAATAAAATCTAGCTAGCAAGCTCATTTCATTCAATTATTCATTCATTCATTCATTCATTCATTCATTCATTCATTCATTCATTCAGCAAGCAAGCAAGCATTTAATATGTACCTGCTCTGTTCCAGGCACTGTGCTAGGAGCTAAGGATACAAAGATAAAAAATGAAACAGTCTTTGCCCTCAAAAAGCTTACCTTCTATTTTCTACTTTCCTATCTATATCTGCCCCAAACTGGGGGAGGAATGGAATTAATTAAAGCGACGCTGGATTGAACTGGAGAGGCTGTTCTGAACTGGAATGGCTAAGGTTTTTATAGCCTTCCAAATTCACACTCTGTTAAGCATTAGGTATCAGCAGTTCACATATACATGTCAAAGGGATAGGTTAGATAATTTGTAGGTACATCCTAATACTACCCGAGTTCTAGGCAAAAGAAATACCTTTCAATTCTACAATTTACTTCCTCCATCTCACCCCACAAGTTCCTTCATAAAGCCACTTAGTTCCCTATCCCCCACCCAACCTTACACCTCACTTGGACTACTGCAATAGCTTGCTGGTTGTTCTCCTTTCTGGAAGTCTCACCTCACTCCAATCTATTCTCCACTAAGCTGTCAAAGTGATCTTCCTAAACTGAAGGTCTGACCACGTCACAACTTTCTCCCTCCTCCCAATAAACTCCAGTGTCTCCCTATTACCTCCAAGATAAAAAAGAAAATCCTAGTTGACATTCAACACCCTCAATAACCCCCTCCAGCCCCACCCCACATACCTTTATAGTCTTGTAACACCTTATAACTCCCCCCCACCCCCACCCCTTGGTGTTCCCTGAACAAGACACTCCATCTTTCAATTCAGGGCATTTTCAGCACCTGGGCGCCTAGTAGGCTGTTAATGAATTTTTACAGAATGAATGAACTGCTGTCCCTCAAGCCTAGGATGCTCTCCTTTCTCATTTCCACCTCCTGGCTTCCTTTAAATCCCAGAAAAATCTCACCTCCTACTGGAAGCCTCTCCAGATCCCCATAATTCTAGTGCCTTCCCTCTGTCTATTACTTCCAATTTAGCCTAACATACTTGTTTCTGGATAGTTGTTTGTATGCTGCCTCCACCATTAAACTGAAGTAAGTGAAATCAGCATTAGTCACTATCACCTTCCACATACCAAACAATTCCACTTTCTTCCTTTCTAAGTCTGGCTCCCTATAACAGGAGTTCAGGAAAGTCAATGCCCCAGCTGAGGCATTAGAGCCTGCAAAATGAATCCTGGAAACCTGTGAGTGCTAGAAAACCAAGTCAGTTACTGAGTAATTTTATTAAATGACCTCGGTGCCAGGCACAGCGCGAAGTGCTGCGGATACGTGGAAAGGCCAAAGAGAGGAAGCACCAAGTGATCCCTCAAGCGACTCACGAATTGCTTTTAAAGGTTCTACAGGCATTAAATATGTTTGGGGTGGGCAAACGCTCAATAAACATTAGCTGATTGACTGACTCCTTGCGCTGGATAAAATCGCAGCTAAAAACCAGGTGAAATCCACAGAAGGGGGAGGAGAGGAGGTCTTCTTAGGACTTGAACAACCTTAAAGGCCATCCATTACAATCCTCCAGTTTTACAGAGGAGGAAACAGGCTTCTGGGGAAGAAATGACCCAGGTGTTCCTGCTCCAGACCGAGTTCGCTTTCCCCTAACCAGTCAATCAATTTCTCAACGATGCTTCCCAGGAAGGTTCGTAGAGCGAGGGAAACCCTCAGTCCCTAACCCGAAATCCTGGGCCGTTCCCGGAATTCGAAGTCCAAGGCCGAGGGCGCAAATACTGGATCTGGCAGTGCCTGCTTGGGCGAGCCAGTTTCCCCTGCCTGGGCCTCAGTTTCCTCATCTGTAAAATGAGGGGCTGGACAAGAGGACGGCCAGAAGGGACAAAGCGTCGTCTCCCCCCTCCTGCTTCTCCTCCTCACTCACCCGGACGCTCTCGCTCTCCTCGTCCCAGGCCCCGGGAGAGCCGCGGGGATCCGGGAGGGCCGCCCCGGCCCGGGCTGGGTTCTTCGGCGCGGCCTCCGGGGCTCCGCCCCGCGGCCTCGCGCGCACCCCGCTCATCCTGACCGCCCGGGCCCGAGACGCCACTCGCAAGCCGCCGCCCGGTGCCCGCGCCCCCCACGCGGCGAGCCGGCCTTTCCCGCGCCCGCCACTCGCTACCCGCTATTCACAAGTCCCTCGGCCGTCTGGGCTACTGGCCGAGGCCTCCTTCCCTCCCTCCTGCACTACTCCCACCTCTCCCTGCTCCCTCCCGCCTCGCCTTGCACCCTCCCTCCTGCCCACCTCTCCCCTGCTCCCCTCCTGCACTACTCCCTTCTTCCCTACAGCTCCCGCTTCTCTTCCTCCCTCCTGCAAGCTCCCCGCCTCTCCCGGCTTACAAGCCACTCGCTTCTACCTCCCTCTTGCGCGCCTCTCTCCCTCTTCCAAGCCTCCTACTTCTCCCTCTCTCCTTCCCTCCTGCACTACTCCCACCTCTCCCCTCCCTTCCTCCTACACGACTTCTGCCTGTGCCTCATTCTCCCAAGGAGTGGGAACTCCTTTCTGTCCGTTTTGCAATCCTCGCACTTCTCACTCTTTCCCTCCATTACGTTTCCAGCCTCTTCCTCCCTCTCTTCCAAGCCTCTCCTCTCCTCTTCCAAACATTCCTCCCCAATTTCTCCTCAGGTTCTGCAGAACTTTCGTTTCTCCCTCCCTCTCTTACAAGCCTTTGACCTCTCCTTTCCTTTCTTACAAGCCTCCCTCCTGAACGCCTTCCATCTCTTCGAAGCCCCCTTTTATCCTTCCACCCTTCACCTCTTCTCCAGGGCTTTCCAATTCACTGTCTTTCCTTTACCCCTTCTCAAGATTCAACCTGCGGCACCTACTGGGTGCCAGGCACTGGGCTAGGAGCTGGGAATATAAAGACAACAAAATTAAAAAGTCCTTGCTGTGCCGTAGATTAACAGCATGGTGTAAGTGCATAGGGCTCTGGCCTTGGAGTCGGGGAGACCAGAGCTGAAATTCAGCCTCAGACATAGTCAACTGTGTGACTCCACGCAAGTTGTCTAACTTCAGTGTGCCCAAACTCATGGTAAACCCATGACCCTATGACACTTCCAATCCCACCTAACACTTATTAGCTCTGTGACCTTGGAAAACATAACTACCAAAATGAGGTCTTAGACTGCAGTCTCCAAGGTTCCTTCAAGCTCCAGATTTATGATCCTATCAGCTAAATAACTCATAATGCATTGTGAATTGTATAAAGAAAAGTTATACAAAGTAATTTCTGGAGTGCACTATCAAGTTGAGAAGAGATCAGGATAGCCTTCCCTTAGAAGCTGGCACTTTTCAAAGGCCTTTGTGAGGAAAAGGGGAGGGAGCAGCATGGGGAGTAGCTGGCAGGCCATTTTGGCTTGAATGTAGAATTCATATAGGAGATTAACGTGTGATAAGCCAGGAAAAGTCACTTTATTGTAGCCATTTTGTGAAGGGTTTTAAATGCAAAACAAAGGAGTCCGTATTTTATCCTAGAAGTAAAGGTGTCTCTAGAGCAGTTCTTTGACATGGTTCACCGCTTTAGGAATAGAGATTTGACAGCTAAGTGGAGTATGGGTTGGAGAGAATGGGAGATCAATCAGGACTTTTGCAGTATTTTAAGGAGAGGTGATGATGACCTGAACCAAGCTGGTTCAGGTGGGTGGAAAGGAGACTGATACAAGATATGTTGTGGAGGTAGAATTGATTAGATTTGGCAACAAATGGTTACTCATTGTGTTCCCTTCCTTTCCCAAAACTATTTGCCAGTCTTTGTAAAGGATGCTTTCTATGCCTAGAATACCTTTCACCACCAAACCCCACTCCCCAACCCACTCTGAATTTCAGTACATTCTTTAAAGTTTAACTTAAATCTTACTTTTTCTAAAAAATGATTTATGCACACATACCCCTCCTCAGAAGTCACATTAACACTTTGCTTGTGACCTCGTGCTTACATATATTATTGCTTTCTGTGTATTTTACCTCCCAGGGAGACTTTGATTTACAAGTGGGAGGAGGACTTTTATCTAAAGTTTGTTTACAAGTGTTTCCTGAATTCAATTCAGCCCAGTACCCCCACTGATGATATCAGTCTTTGAAGTATACCTTCCTCAAGCCAAATTTTACAAATTACACTCCATAAGCCAAAAGCTGCAGTTCACTTCTTTATCAGTGAGTCCGTGGGATCACAATAGATGGTCATAGGAATTTTGAGTATTACATTGGTACCTCTAAGGTTTTTTTTTTTAAGTAGGAGGAAGTACTCCAGCTTGTTGGGTGGATTTCCTTACTGAAAGCTTTGGGCAAAGATGTGAACAAGATTTGCACACTATGAGAAGAGGTGGGTTGTGACTCACATTCATCATTGCTCTACCAGAATCCCAAAGTAACAGGATCTCAGTCACATTCTTTTCAGTGTTCTGAAGAGTCCTTATTTACAAGAATAGTAGAAGCTAGTCATACTTTCCATGGTTTGTAGATTGATAGTTTTAAACATTTGAATTTTATATTGAATGAAAATAAAAAGGAAGATACCAGACACAGAAAACAGAATTTCTTTTCTTCTAATGCAATAAAATTTGGTGAGTTTTAAGTCACTCTTACTTATAAAGCCTTTCTATGCTACTTGAGCCTTGCAAGGCATTTGTGAGCCATCAATATTTACTGAGGTAACGGCAAAGCACTGATTTATGCATCTTTGTATTCTCTGTAATACCTACAACAGTTTCTGCAGCTTACTATGTAGCTGGGGAGAGAGTCCCCAACTGATAAGACAATTACTTTGTTTCCAATTCTTTGCCATCACAAAAAGTTTGGTTGTAAGTATTTGAGTATATGGGGACTTTCTTTCTATCAATGGCTTCTTTGAGGAGTATACTAAGTAATACAGTCCCTGGGTCAAAAGGTAGGGACATTTTAATCACTTCTCCTAATTCTAAATTGCTTTCCAAAACAATTGAATCAAATTCACGGCTCCTCCAAAAAAATTTATTACTGTGCCTACCACCCCACAACCCCTCCCACATTTGACTAATGCTATGTTTTCATCAGCCAGTTTGCAAGTGTGCCTGTCATTCATAGAATCTTAAGAATTGGAAGAGATCAAAGAGCCATCTAGACTAACAGCTATGTGAAGAAAGGATAGGATAGCCTAGAAAAATGACTATCCAGCCTCAGCCTAAAGACCACCAGTGATAGGATGCCTACTATCACCCACTGAATTTTTGGACAGCTCCAGTTGTTAAGTTCTTTCATAAATGGTCATTTATGGAATGCCCTTAGGTAAGTAGCTAGATGGCATAGCAGTAGACAGAGCACTGGACCTGGAGTCAGGGAGATAAGAGTTCAAATCCAGCCTCAAACACTTAATAGCTGCTAGTGCTCCTTCTACTCCACCAAACACCTCCTTATCATGAGGCCACTGGGATGAACCCAGTAAGATAAAATTCAAGAGTAAAGTAACAAGTGTTCATTAAGTGCCAACTTATGTGCCAGGCAGTGGAGATAAAAATGCAAAAAATAATACACTTCCTACTTTTAAGGCACAAATGTGAAGTTTTACATTCAGGTTCAAAAAATCTGACTTCACAAGTACCGATGAGTCTGAAGGATCAGGAGATTCTAGCGGACTTTGAAAGCTAGGTATGTCAACAGGTATCACAGCCAAAACTGCCAGTGCTATCTTAGGCTGCATTTAAGAGATGTACAGATTCCAAGAACAAGGAGGTATTAAGTGACTGGGGCAGACTACATCTGGACTATTGTGTTCAGTTCTGGGTGCCAGTTAAGAAAGGACGACTGATAGTCTAGCTACAGGGGTGGGGAACTTGTGGTCTCAAGGCCCTCTAGGACCTCAAATTCGGCCCTTTGACTGAATCTATACTTCACAGAACAAATCCTTTTGTTAAGGACTGCAGGGTCCCTTCAAGTTCTAATAGATGATGATTCCAGGATTTGCAAAGTAATTGAATACAGGATACAAAGGAAAGAGAAGAACAAAAAATAAAGTTTTAAATTTCCGAGCTCCTTTAATCTTCTGATGTTTCATCATAGCCATGGAAGGTCTCAGCAGACCTTTAACTTAGGGCAAGCCCTACCTAAGCTGGAAAGTCCTACAGGAACAGTAGTGCACATTTATTATAGCTCTTTAATGTTTGCAAAGTACTTTCCTCATAAAGAGTCTATGAGTTGGGTAAAGCAAGTATTATGCCTAATTTACACATAAGGTAGGTGAAACTTAAAGAGAATTTATGTGAATTGCTCATGATTACACAGCTAGTAAATACTGAAGGGATAATTCAAACCCAGTTTATTTCTGACCCCAAGTCCAGGGCTCTTTAAACTATACCACACTGCACAACAAAGGACTGTTATCCAAAGACCAACCTAACTGAAGAAATTCATCACCAGAAAAGTTGCCACAGCAACTCACCAAGTTTACCCACTAAAATGTGTAGTGGCTGTTTCATGCTTAAGTAGATTTTACTAGTCTCTTAAAATATTTATGGAATTGGAAGAATAATGGTACCGAGTGGCAGCAATAAAGAAGAAAGTCTCAAGGAATAAGCAACTTGGGGCAGAAGATGTAGTGAGAAAAGAGGTTTTGTTAATAGGCAGGTGGAGGCAGAGGTGGAGCCATCACATCTGTGTAGAAGTGTGCAGGCTTCGGCAAACTATATTACATGGTACTGAAATAACTGGCAGATTTGACTGCTGACCTGCTGTAGGTGAAAAACGATGGTATCTGAGAAAAATGGACTATAAACCATTGCCTGAATGGAGGGCAGACAGCCCAGATTTCACATACCGATCAGTAACAAGAGACTAAATAATAATAAATTCAGTGAGAAAATATGCTAAGTTATCCACCCCAGAGCTGCACAAGAAGTCAGCTAGAAGCCCATAGGCAAGAGACGAAAGGGGGCCTGCAGCAAAGTCAGAGCCAACACAACACAGGCAAACTAGCCAGAGACCTCCTCTCTAGATTACAGACATGAATCTCAAAGCAGCACGAACAATGGGCTTCCCTCAGAAAGCGCCACAGTGGTCAGAAACGAACAGCATGGACCCTGAGAGCTGCCAAGGTAGACACCAGTGCCGATGTAGCAATGCACAGACCAGGAAACCC